TCCCTATAGGGCAGGTTCGTAACTTGAATTGTTCGCAAGTCGGGTCGTTCGTAAGTTGAGACCCCACTGTATCTCAGTACTCTTGACACAATTCCAGTGCTTTTGCAAGGTTTTGCAATGCTTACTTTTGCTGCAATATAAAACTTTTATCCACCAAATGTGCCTTATGTATCTGCCACCAACCATTTTTTCTCTTTGGGCATGAGGCAATTTTAACATCTGCTCATAACTTTTAGGATTAGACATTACCCCATATATATACAGTATATGATGCTGTAAACCTCACAGGTGGAACACCAACATTAGACCCCTATGAACAATTTCCTCAGGTTCACTACATGTCTCATGTTTCCCTTCTATAGCTCCATTTCCTTCTTCATATGCCTCACTTTGTTCTTCCTCATTTTCAAACCTCTCTTGTCTATTTTTAGACAATGGCAAAAGTATTTCACCGTTTGCATGAATTTGTGACTAATTCTCATGTTTACAAAAATTAGCTCTCCTGCTAATTATCACATTTCCATACTGATCACAAAATCGATAACATTTACTTTTTGTTTGATAGCCTACGAAAATCAACTTCCTTGCCTTAGGGCTACCTTTTTTCCTGCATGTTTTGGGTATATAAACCCAAGCATGACAGCCAATATTTTCATGTGTTTCAAACAAGGTTGTCTCCCATGTAATAGAAAATAGTTTTTTTTCTACTGCAGAGTTCCACACTCTGTTCATAATATAATTAGCACATTTTATGGCTTTACCCCAAAAACCTCTGGGTAACTTAGCATCAGCAAGTAATGAGTCTAATACAGTTTGCAAAATTCCGTTTCTTCTTTCTGCAACTCCATTCTCAGTAGGTGTGGCTACATTTGTACACCTGTGATGAATGCCTTTTTTCTTAAGCCAATCTACAAAATAATGTGCTGAAAACTCTCCCTCTCAATCTGTCTGAACAGACACTACAGGAGTACTAAAATCTTCGTTCTACCATGGCAACAAAATCTTTGGAAAGTTTCACTCTTATGTTTCATTACATAGACGTAGCTATAATGTGAATAGTCATCTATTATAATTAAATAGAACCTATTACCACCTTTTGTGGGCTGCAGTGGTCCCACAACATCAAGATGAACCAACTGAAAAATCTTGTCACTGACTCTTTTGCTTTTCTTGCTCACAGGAAAAGCCTTTGATTTGGTTGATTTACATATGTTACAATCTAAATATTTCTCACAGTTTTTAATATTTAGATCAGGCACAACTTTTTTTAGATTTGTTTAAAATTCCAAAGTTTACATGACCTAACTTTCTATGTATGCTATGTATACACTTTTCATGTGGTTCTGAGTTGTTAACCACATTTATGGCTTCATTCATTTGGCTCTGATTCATCACATATAAATGATCCTTTAGATAACCATTTGCCACCTGTGCATCATTTTTCGTTATTTTGTATCTGCCTTTCTCAAAAATTATAGTGTAGCTGTCTTTATCTGGACTTGATACACTTAATAAATTATTCTCTAAACTTGGCACACACAGGACATTTTTTTAGAGTTTGTTTTAAATAGTTTGCAAACATAGAACCTGTTCCAGTTACAGTGGTGCCTCGCAAGACAATTGCCTCGCAAAACAATCCGCAAGACAATTGCTGTTGCTCTTCGCAAGATGATGGTTTCCTATGGACGATTTTTGCAAGACGATGATTTTTCCCCATTGGAACGCATTAAATAGATTTCAGTGAATTCCAATGGGGAACCGCGTTTCACAAGACGATGTTTTCGCAAGACAGCATTTTTCGTGGAACGAATTAACATTGTCTTGCGAGGCACCACTGTACAGATGCTGACTTTCCATCTACTAGCTTCATTGTCTTTTGAGCTGAAGGGGTTAAGTTTGTGAACAACTCTTTTCTCTGGCACACATGCTGAGAAGCTCCACTATCTATTCCACAAGCTTGAATGACCTTCATGCTTCCGCGTTTGTTGATAAAACTTTTTCTTGGCTGGCTGTGAAGTCATCTATGGACCGGACCCTCTTGGTTTATGTTGATAAAAGACCTTCTCCACTGCCTTATCACGTCACCTCTGGTCCTCCTCCACAAGTCTCCTGGACAAATATTGTGCTATCAGGTCTTTCTCTGGCATGTTTTCCAAACTTATCACCAGATTCTCCCAGCTGTCATCTAGGCTGCTCAGAATCACAAAACACTGGTGTGACTGGTCAAACTCCATGCCTTGCTCCTGCAGCTGGAGAAATAAATCTAACATCTCTTTAATATGGTTAGACACATCTTCTCCAGGCATTAAAAGCTTGTGATGTAGCTTATGTGCCACAGCCATTTTGGACCCGGCTATATCTCATACATAGACATTCCTGAGTGCCTGCCAACACTCCTGGCTTGTTTTCATATTCCTCACCCTAAGTCAGTTGCAAATCTTCCAAATACAATATTATTGTGGCTCTTGCTTCATCATCGTTTGCACGTCCCTCATCATCAGGAGGATTTTCAACATACTGCCACAGTGACTCTCCTCAGGAAAGCAAAATCTGTCACTGCCTCCATATCTTCCCCTTCTGTTTGCCAGGAGGTGATGGGACCAGTGGCCATGATCTTAGTTTTTTTATGTTGAGCTTCAGATCATTTTTGGCTCTCTCCTCTTTCACCCTCATTAAGAGGTTCTTTAAGTCCTCCTCACTTTCTGCCATCAGAGTGGTATCATCTGCACATCTGAGGTTGTTGATATTTCTTCCGGCAATCTTAATTCCGGTTTGGGATTCATCCAGTCCGGCGTTTCGCATGATATATTCTGCATATAAGTTAAATAAGCAGGTGGACAATAATACAGCCTTGTTGTACTCCTTTCCCAATTTTGAACCAATCAGTTGTTCCATATCCAGTTCTAACTGTTGCTTCTTCTCCTATATATAGATTTCTCAGGAGATGGATAAGGTGGCACACCCATTTCTTTAAGAATTTGCCATAGTGTGCTGTGGTCCACACAAAGGCTTTTGCATAGTCAATGAAGCAGAAGTAGATGTTTTTCTGGAACTCTCTGGCTTTCTCCATAATCCAGCGCATGTTAGCAATTTGGTCTCTGGTTCCTCTGCCCCTTTGAAATTCAGCTTGTACTTCTGGGAGTTCTCAATCCACATACTGCTGAAGCCTGCCTTGTAGGATTTTGAACATAACGTTGCTAGCGTGTGAAATGAGTGCAATTGTACGGTAGTTGAAGCATTCTTTGGCACTGCCTTTCTTTGGGATTGGGATGTTGACTGTTAAAGGATCTCCCCGCATACCTGGATACACTTTCTCTTGCTTTTACATCATAGCAAATATAAATGGTTACTGCTGATGAAAGAAAGATGCACATGTTTAATTTCTGTCGTTGCAAGAGGTGGGAGTCTGAGAACCATTCATTAAAAATGTCTGTAATCAGTTTTGACTGTTTTACAGCCCTTGTATATTGGTAATATAATGAATTTATGGCTATACAGTGGTGCCTCGCTTAACGGGCGCCCTGTTTAACGACGAATCCGCGTAGCGATGAAGATTTCGCGATCGCAAAAGTGATCGCATTGCAATGTTCTCCATTGGGAAAAATCGCTTTGTGATTATTGCTGGGTGAAAATGCCGGCACAGCTTCCCCCCAGCACCCCGAAGCCCCGCCAATCAGCTGGGCGAAAATACTGGTGGGGGCTTTGGGAGGACTGCGGAGGAGGGCTCCCCCGCGGTCCTCCCAAAGGCCCCATTTTCGCACAGCTGATCGGCGGTTCCAAAATGGCCGCCCCCGCTGTGTTGCCTCGCTTTAGAGGCACTGAAAATGACCGCCCCTGTGCTAAAAACCAAATTTCGAAGAAACTGCTTTTACACGAGACAGAGAGGGTCCGGAATGATCAGCTGCTTTACCAGGCAAAATCGGGTCCATTAATTTTACCCTAGGACAGTTGAACACTCTTTCTCCCAAGTCTGACCCGATTTAAGAAAGAACAAAGGCACTTACAGGAGTTCTAGGGAATCTAATCTTCCTAGTACTCTTTAGTATGTAGGACCCAAATGGTAGCATCAAGTAAACGTGGCCGTATTGAGCAGATCAGTCTAAATAAGCCAATTAACTATTGTAGCTTATGGTCTATCCAAGAAGCCAACTTCCAGACATTTATCATTTTTATATTTTATTAGAAATATATAAAGATAAGAAAGAAAATTGTTTAAGCAAGTAAAACAAGACATATTTCCATAATCTATTATTTCCAACCCCAGCCATCACCAAAAGACAGAATTCCTCTATAAAAAATGAAAATAACAAACCACTATTATAATTAGAGGAAGGCTGACCTTCTCTCCAATTCCAGTAAAACTACATTTTCAAACAAAACTTAGATTCTATTAGGTGGAAATCAGTCTTACTGTCCTTTTCAAAAATAAAGTTCTTCTGACGTCCATCTTCTAACTCTCTCCGTGCTGGAAAACCTCCTCTCCTCTCATGCTGGAAATCTTCTTTCTTCTCCGTTCCATGAGTCTTAAATAAAGAGTTATGTCCTTGCTCCTTCTGGGCTAAGATAGTTGCTTGGTTACAAGATAAAGGTCACCTTGAGCTGCAAAAGAAACCGTCCTTGGAAATTTTCCTCTCTAACTCACACACAGAAATCAAAAGGATTTTTCCAGACTAATTTTGTACCTATAAAGTAAAATAGTGATTTACCATTTAACTTTCATAAACAAGTTCATCATAGCCCCTATGGAGGACTTTCGCATAAGGTGAGTTTTTAAGCCCATAGGAACGCATTAAAGGCGTTTTAATGCATTCCTATGGGCTTTTTTCCCCCGCATAGCAACAAATCTGGATAGTGACGATTTTTCCGGAATGGATTATCGTCGCTATGCGTGGCACATCTGTATTTATTATAAGCTGTTTTGTGTCCCAGTTGTAGGGGATAGATAGAATGCAAATCAAAACAGTAAACCAATATGTGTACCTGTTTTTTTCTTTTTACAGTGACTTCTGTGACTTTACACCTGGAGATTTGGTTTGGGCCAAACTTGAAGGTTACCCATGGTGGCCAAGCCTTGTGTACAAGCATCCAACAGAAGGAATACTTTTCAGGGGTAGAGGAAGAGCATCTCGCATCCATGTACAGTTTTTTGATGATGACCCATCAAGAGGCTGGGTTAGCATTAGATACTTAAGACCATATGAAGGTAAGAGATGGTATGACAGAATACAGCAACCTGGTGTTCTTGTGCTAATGCCGCCACTTCCACTTGATTCCAGTAACTGATGCTTGGAAAGTGTTGTTTGTTGCTTCACTGGAAAAGGTACCCAGTAGGGTAAAATAGTGTAGTTAGCATTTTTCAGACATTTTGCACTAGTAAAATAACCTGCCTGCTGGTCATACTGGATTATGCTTTTTGGAGCTGTGGTTTTAAATGTCAGGCTAGCACCAAGTTACTTACTCTACTACCTGACCATTATCATACCAGTTGTGGAGGGGGGCGGTCCCTTCCATTATCTGACCCAAATCCAGTCTATACCAAGGGAGACTCGCAGGTTTGCCATGTTTTGGCCTCCTCAGAAGTGGTTGCCACTTAGGCTAAATCAGCACCCAAATCCAGCACTATTATCTCCATACTAGATTTCAGCTAAGGCTAAAGGAAACTTGAAGCTCTCTGGCTTCGCCTTGTGTTCCTGTAAGGAAATAAATCCTGATACAGTGAAAACTTTTGCCCTTGGAATCTGAAGCAGGCAGTAAACTAGAGGTATCAAGATCAAGGAACAAGGATGAATTTAGGACCAGATTTTGTTGGAAGGCCAAATACAGCAAACTTCTCAATCAGTGGAGAAAATATTATATCTTACTAAGTGTAGCCAAATTGTAAAAAGATCAAATTGTGCCAAATTAGAAAAAGTCAGTATGGAAATATGGTTTGGTAATACAGCAGGAAAAATAAGAAAGCTGTATAGCTCTGAGCCAAACACTTAAGCAAAAGGACATCTGAAAAAGTAATAGTTTGCCAGAGCATATGTGAAGTGCAGGCTCCTTGGATGGTCCAGCAGAATAACAGGTTGTGTATGAAGTCCAAGAGGCTCTGATCTTTCCTGCTTATAGACTTTTAATCTTAGTAAGAGAGAAAGGGTCCAGTTGACAGTTGAAATCTAATTAAGTGAGATGTTCTCAAAGGAAAGATAGATGAAACCACTACTTGCTAATTAAGAAATCATCCACCTGCTTGCCTGCCTTCCTTCCTTTTTTCCCTCCTTCCCTCCCTCCCTCTCCCTTCCTTCCTTCCTTTCTGTAGAATTATGTACCTAATTTACTTTGGCTCCATTTTATCCAAAATTTGGTTTGTAACCATATCCTCTGTCACACAGGTTCTGGTGGTAGAGATACCCAGAGGGGAGGTATGTTTTACAGTTCAAAGCCTGAAATTAAAAGAGCAATGGAATTGGCAGATGCTGCAATGCAAATAGATAAAAGTGAGCGACTTGATCTTGCAGTGTGTGACAAACCTTCAGAAAGTGAGGAAGATGATGATGAAGATACAGAGGTGATTTTTAACGCTGTTTTTAAGAACGATTTACAAAAAATAAGAGTGACCTTTTGTGCTTGTTAGGGACCAGCCTTTTATAGATGAGTGCCTGCCTTTCTATCAGAAAGGATTGTTTCAATAATTACAGATGTCATAACTGTGTTCCCTGTAGCCCAGTGATGGGACAATGACTCCCAAATGTTTTGATTCATTACTCCCTTTGCTGGCTGCGTATCCCCAGTACAATAAGACTCCTGTATTCATGGAAGCATTACCCTTATCCAGTGCTTGAAAATTTTTCTAAAATAAGAAAAAAATCACACACCCATGAATACACCTCCTGAGGATGTATTACCAGGACTGGCCACTAGATGGGAGCAGAGATTATGTGATATACCAGTGATGGCAAATCTATGGCATGCATGCCACAGCTGGCACGCGGAGCCCTTTCTGCCGGCACGTAAGCCATGGGTCACCAGATCGCACACCCTCGCCCTGCGCAGCCAAACTGTTCTATACACATAAGATCGGTGTGGGCAGCTTAGCGCGCATGTGCCACATGCGGGCCATGCCTTTGGCGTGCTTTTGAATTCCCTCCCGCCTCCCGAGGCTTGTGCACTCCCGCATCCCCATTTTTCTCTGTCTTTGGTTGGCGTCGCCAGCTCGCAATGTTTCCTACTTGCTCCTCCTGAAGGAAAGCGGCTCCAGGGACAGAGAGCGCGCGCGTGCAAGTGCGTGTGTGTGTGGGGGTTGTTTTCCTTCCCTTTCCCCGGAAGGCTGTTTTGCGCGTGTGCAACGCATGAACGGAGCGAGGGAGGGAAGAAGGGAGGGAGGAGGAGTGGCTCAAAATGGAGGTGGTGTGGCTTTTAGGACTTCTGAGGAGCAACTGCCCGCACCCAGCCTGGCGCGCGTGACAATAGAAAGGCGTCCGAGTGGCGGGGAAAGAGCAGCACCTGTCTCTCCTCCTCCTCCTCCTCCTCCCTGGGCTCAGCTTGTTGGTCCTCCACCGCCTCAGCCTGCCGGGTCTTAGCATGGTGGGGGTCGGCCACTGGTTGCCCCACTCCTCTGCCCCCACCTGACCTCTTCTTCCTTCTCATCAGACCGGCTCTTTCTTGGTCCCTCCTTCCCAGTCCCCCCCCCCATTGCTCAGTCTTGTTTCTCACAGCCACACCGCCCCCACACTGCCTCAAGATGGGCAAGAAGCTGGAGCTGCGGCTCAAGTCCCCTGTGGGGGCTGAGGCGGCTGTCTTCCTGTGGCCCTTGCCCATCTACGTGAGTCCCCGAGGGGAAATGAAGGGGCTTAGGGGAGATTTCATGGAGTGGGTGTCTAAGGAGGATGGGAAAGGGGATGTGAAGGTGGTTGACTTCTGGGTCCGCCACTGCCGCCACCACTTCTGGGGCACACCGCCCCGCTGTCCTCCCCCCTTCCCAGTTTGGGCATGCAAGCCCAAAAAGGTTCACCACCACTGCTATATACAGATAGTTTAAGGCAGTGCTCCCCAACTTTTTTGACACTGGACTGGTTGGGGGACGATGGGGTCTGTGTGCAGGGAAGGTGGGGTAATCAGCGTATGCTGATTACATTTGCAGATTATACCTCAGCGTATGCTGATTACATTTGCAGATTAACCAAATGAACTGCACAGATAAAGAATGGAAGACACCTGGCTAGACAGCAATACATGTGAAAGGAATCTAGGAGTCTTGGTGGGCCACAAACTGAACATGAGTCAGCAGTGTGATGTGGCTGCCAAGAAAGCCAGTGCAATTCTTGGTTGCATCAATAGAAGTACAGTGTCTAGATCAAGGGAAGTGATAGTACTACTCTATTCTGCTTTGGTTAGACCTCACCTGGAGTATTGTGTCCAGTTCTGGGCACCTCAGTTCAAGAAGGATGTTGACAACCTGGAACGTGTCCAGAGGAGGGCGATCGAAATGGTCAAAGGTCTGGAAGCCATGTCCTATGAGGAGCAGCTTAGGGAGCTGGGAATGTTTAGCCTTACAAAAAGAAGGTTAAGAGGGGACATGATAGCCATGTTTAAATGTCATGTTGAAGAGAGGACAGATTTGTTTTCTAGGGCTCCAGACACTAGGACGAGGAGAAATGGTTTCAAACTACAGGAAAAGAAATTCCACCTGAATCTCGGAAAGAACTTCCTGACAATCAGAGCTGGTTGGCAGTGGAATATGCTGCCTCGAAGGGTGGTGGAGTCTCCTTCTTTGAAGATTTTTAAGCAGAGACTGGATGGCCATCTGTCGGGAGTGCTTTGATGGGTTTCCTGCATGGCAGGGGGTTGGACTCAATGGGCCCTGTGGTCTCTTCCAGCTCTATGATTCTATGGCCCACAGTTTGGGAAATACAGTTACAGGTTTTCTGCACCTACACCACAATTTTGTAGCTCTTGAACAATAAGAGATTTTTATTTTTTTAAAAAGAATAGCTGTTACTGGAAGCCTCCAGGAGTGACAGTCTTCTAAAGCAAGGCATAGTGGCTTTTGGTTGTCCCCCCCCCCCCCCCAAGATATGAACTTCTAGTCATTTCTGGTTTTGAAAAACAAGAATTTTTGCAATGGATGCAGCTGTGGTTCCTAGGTAGCTGTAGTCTCTAATGTTTCATTGCTGTAGCAAAGGATAGCCCTTGGTAAGGAAAACTTAGGAATTTTTTTGTGCCTATTGTTCCACTTACACTTGTTACTTAGCTCAGGGTTGGGCAGTACCAAAGGACTAGAAGAGCATGTTTTGTGAGCTAGAAGTGAAGAATGTGGCCTGTCATTTCAGTTAGGTAAACTTGTATGCCTGTATGTTATTTGTATGGTTTTGGCTGACAAGTGGAAAAACAGTATACTGCTGTTTCCCAGAGAATTTGTTTTGTACTGCTCTTGCTATTGCATGTACTTGGAGCAGGCAGCCTGGGGTATTTCAAATGCTTTGGACTCTTAATTCCTGAAATAACTGATCATCATAATCACTGGGTCTGCTATGAGCAGTAGTCTAAAACAGAGGTCCCCAACCCCTGGTCCATGGCCTGAGCCAGGCCAGGCCGCAAAGACAGACCTCCCCCCTGCACACACTCACCCCTGCACAGCCTGTTTGCGCCTGCGTGCGTGTGCTCCAGCGTGCCCATGCGAGTACTGTGCCGCCATTTGCGCACAAGCGCGTGCCCGCAGAAGCACCACACCGTTTGCACACGAATGCGTGCCCGCACAAGCACTGCACAAACAAGAGAGCACTCGTTTGTGCATGAGCGCAGGGGGTGCCCCACTTTCCCCAGCCAGTCCATTGGGTGAAAAAGTTTGCAGACCCTGGGTCTAAAACAGCTGGGAGCACTTAATCATTTAACTCTGGTTCAGATTATTGGTTTGCTTGTGATTGTTGCTAACTTGCATGTTGAACCACTGTAAATAGTCACATATCTGTATACATTTCATCATTTTTGAGTGATGGCATTAAACAATATGTCTCCATCACATTTGAAAAGCCCAACAGCTTGATTGTCTTCTTTCTTAAGATCTTGGGAATAGTGAAACATCACTTGTGACAGAAGTATGTAATGCCCAAGCAGAATGGATTATTGGAGACATTGTATTCAGCTGTTAGCTGTAGTAGAATCTAGCTGTGGCTGTGCCAGAAAGCCAAAAATCTTTCTGCCCATTCATAGTTAGTGAAAGGCAACTTGATAGCACATCATAAGAATTCATAGTTAAGACAACCTGTTCTTGAGTCTTCTGTTAAATGCAGCTTTTAGAGGAGGTGGTAGGAATGGTTTTTGTGAATGTCTTACAGCTACAGTGTTAACTTTTCAGCTTCGTTGAAACATCCAATTTTTGTATTTCCTGACTTTTCTCTTTCTTAGCAGGTGAGTGATGAGGGTGATGATTTTTCAGCGACAAAAGAGTTGAAACATAGAAATAAAAGGACAGCTGGACGACTGCAGCAGGATGGAAAAGCAAAAAAGAGGAAGGTCATAGATTTGGATAGTGATCGTGAGGGTTCAGACATGGATTTTAAACCAGATGACGCCAGCAGTGATGAAAACAGTGTTGGAGTAGATAGCGAGTCTGAGAAGGACCCAGAAAAGAAAGCAAAACGTTCCATTAATAAAGTTTCTCCTAAACAGACACAGGAAAAGACATATAAACCCCTGCAGAGGGATGATCTTAAAATCGGTCGCCCTGAAACTCCCGTCAGAGAAGTCAATCTTTCATCTGAGATCATGTTCAAGTTGGAATCCTTTGCAGCTACCGGAAGCTGTGATTATCAGCCAAGTCTTAATGGAGGCGGAGGAGACTCTATTCCAGCTGTGTGGGAGCATGATAAAATTGAGTGGCTCCAGGATGGCAAAAGGAAAGATGCTCATAGGAGACGACAAAATGATCCCGATTATGATCCAAGTACTCTTTTTGTGCCGGAGGATTACCTTAGAAACTGTACTCCAGGAATGAGGAAGTGGTGGGAGCTGAAGAGTCAGTACTTTGACTGTGTGATCTTCTATAAAGTTGGAAAGTTCTATGAATTATACCACATGGATGCTGTTGTTGGAGTTAACAAGCTTGGACTGGTGTTTATGAAAGGCACATGGGCTCACTCAGGTTTCCCAGAAATAGCCTTTGACAGGTTCTCTAATATCCTGGTTGAGAAAGGTTACAAAGTTGTCCGCGTTGAGCAGGTAGAGACCCCTGAAATGATGGAAGCACGCTGTAGATCCTTGGCTCACCCAACAAAATTTGACAGGGTTGTGCATCGAAAAGTGTGCAGGATAATTTCCAAAGGGACACAAACCTACAGTATCCTTGATGGTGACTTTTCAGAGACCCACAACAGATATCTCCTTTGCGTAAAAGAAAAAGTTAGTGATTCTGCTGGCCTCTGTCATACCTATGGGGTATGCTTTGTTGATACAACTGTAGGAAAGTTTTATGTGGGGCAGTTTTTGGATGATCGTCATTCCTCAAGGCTTAGAACTCTTTTGGCCCATTATACTCCTGTGCAGATTCTTTTTGAACGAGGGAATCCTTCTGTAGAAACACAGAAAGTATTTAAAGGCTTACTCCCCTCGACTGTGCAAGAAGGTTTAGCTGCTGGCTCTCAGTTTTGGAATGCATCCAAAACATTAAAAATCTTCATTGAAGATGGCTACTTCGATGACAAGGAAAATGGCAACGGTAGACTTGCTCTGCCTCCAGTAATCAGATCCATGACTGCAGAAAATGATTCACTGGGACTTACTCCTGCTGAAAACAGTGAACTTGCGCTCTCTGCTCTTGGGGGTTGTGTCTATTACCTTAAAAAATGCATTATTGACAGGGAAATCTTATCAATGGCCAAATTTGAAGAATACATTCCTGTGGATGTGGATATTGGAAAGGGAATTAAGTCACATAGTATCTTTGCTAAAACAAGCCAAAGGATGGTGCTGGATGGAGTAACTCTAGCAAACCTGGAAATATTTCAGAATGGAACTACTGGTTCTGTAGAAGGCACCTTGTTAGAAAGTATTGACACTTGCTGTACACCCTTTGGAAAGAGACTCCTGAAACAATGGATCTGTGCGCCATTGTGTAATCCTTGTGCTATCAATGACCGTCTAGATGCAGTTGAAGATCTATTAACTGAGGCTGCCAAAATGTCTGAAATCCGGGATCTTCTTAGAAAAGTTCCAGACCTTGAAAGGCTTTTGAGCAAAATTCACAGTATTGGGTCTTCGCTTAAAAATCAGAATCATCCAGAAAACAGGGCTGTTATGTATGAAGAGGCGAGGTACAGCAAGAAGAAGATAATAGATTTCTTATCTGCATTAGAAGGATTTAATGTTGTAGTTGAAATCATTTCAATTTTGCAAGATATTGTTAGCGGTTTTAAATCCAAAACATTGAAACAGATGGTGACGGTCAAATCTAAAAATCCAGAAGGGCGTTTCCCAGACTTGAAAGCAGAACTTGACAAGTGGGAGGCAGCTTTTGATCACAGCACTGCACGAAAGACTGGTGTAGTTAATCCAAAACCTGGCTTTGACATTGATTATGATAAAGCTCTAGAGGATATAAGTGATGTTGAAGAACGCCTTCGCAAGTATTTGGAAGAGCAGCGCAAACGTCTGGGTGTCAGAGCCATGATGTATTGGGGTGCAGGCAGAAACCGCTATCAAATGGAAATTGCAGAAAGTGCAGTGCCTCGGGATCTGCCTGATGAATATGTGTTGAAGTCCAGCAGAAAGGGATATAAGCGTTACTGGACAAAAGCCATAGAGAAGATGCTGAATGACATTGTCAATGCTGAAGAAAGAAGAGATGCAGCACAAAAAGATTGTATGAAAAGGTTATTCTACGACTTTGACAGAAACAGCAAAGATTGGCAAGCAGCAGTAGAATGCATTGCAGTTCTAGGTAAGCCATCTTCTTAGCACATACAGGTTGAATTTCCACTGCTACTTCATTTGAGTCCCTCGTTTATACCTTGTTTCCCTGAAAATAAGACGTAACCTGAAAACAAGCCGTAGTATGATTTTTCAGGATGCCCGTAATATAAGCCCAACCCCCAAAATAAGCCCCAGCTAAGTGCAACCTCGCCCTCCACCATTGTGCAGCAACCAGAAGATGATATGACTGTATTTGTATAAATGTAGATTGTTGTGCATGGAAAAAAAACATTCCCTGAAAATAAGCCCTAATGTGTTTTTTGGAGCAAAAATTAATATAAGACCCTGTCTTACTTTTGGGGAAACACGGTATGTGTATATATCTGTAACTGGAGTTAGTCAGCTGGTGATAAGAAACTCATTTGTGACCTACAGTTTTTTTCTGATCCTGCCAACCCTCCCAGATTTTAATTAGTTCAGGATGTTGTTTTAAGAAACAACCCACCACATTACATCTGAAGGAAAAGAATAGTTCTGTGTAATGTTCCTTCTCTCAGTAATGAAGTGCAACTGCATTGCACTGTAAATGAAATTGTTGTACTAAATCTTACAGAGCCTAAGCATTTGATGTTAGACAGGAATTTTCATCACAAGAATCTGCCTCAAGAGTAGTTTATTAGCCTAGAAAGGGTGGGATAAAAAAATCTAATAATAAATAAATAATAAATAAAATAAGTAGAAATAGAAGAGTTGCCCCCAAATTCCAATAATGGTGTATTGCCATCTAAATTGTAGGAAAGACTGTTCTGTTCTGTGCAGAATGCTGTTGTGTGTATTCAGACTGAGAAAAGTGTGACATGTGACCTTAAAATGTGGTCCAGAAAGAGGGATGTTTCTGGCCATGCAGAGAATGATACTCTACAAGACAGTTGATAGTACCTTCCCACAGTGGCTGAAATCCTGTTGTGCAATTCTGCATACAGAATGGCAGTGATATCATCATCCTCAGCAAATCACTGCTGATTAAAGGTGATTTTGGGTGCATGTAAAGTCTTTAAATCAGTGGCAGTTTGCCACTACTGATTACATTATCAATATTGTGTATGCAGAGCTGTGCAGTAGAGTTACAGCCAACAATATGTGCAATTGCTTCAAGTGTTCAATCATGTAAGATTTGCATTCTTTTGGTGTGCATACATATTGTACAGTATAGGGGCCTCAGGAAACAAGGAAATCTTCCCAGATGCAGGCAACTGAATGTAGTGTATTCATTGAGGCAAATTATATCCAACTTGCAACAGGGGGTTGGCATATCTGACAAAGCAAAAAATCACAGCTGCTCCAGTGTTAATTCAAAGTTCATCATGGTGGTGTTTCGTATATTTTTATGGGTGAGATTGTATATTATTGTCAGAGGAAAGGAAATTACCTACTCCTTTCTCTTATATTGCTTTGCTTAAGTAAGGCAAAAGGAGATTTTTACTCATTGGACACACATGAGTTTAAGATAGTGGCTGAAATCCTGTTGCTTAGAGTAATAAATCACACTAGAGTAGGCCCATTGAATTAGTAAGGATTTGGTGAGTCAGCTGTTCCATTATTTCAGTTGATTCAAATGGGCTACTTGTAACTTCCTTTAGTGTAAAAAGTTGCAACTAACATAAGCCCATCAGTGGAACTTACATTAAGGATTTGGCCTGCTCTAGTGCAATTTCCTGTACTAAGCAACAGGATTTCAGCCTGTACGTTGGTCATCATAACATCTTTATTTAGCTAAGAGCACTAATGTTACAAGCAAAGTAGACACTTAAATTACCGTATTTTTCTGTATATAAAACAACACTTTTTCCTTAAATAATTAAACAAAAACTTGAGGGTCGTTTTATACACGAAGGCAGCTGCTTTCCTTGCCTTTTGCAAAGCCATGGGGCTTAGCAAAAAGGAAGAGAAGGCTCCCTTCAGGTAAAGTAGCCGTGAAAGGGCTTCAGGATTAAAAGGCTGCGATTGTGCAGCCCTTACCTGAAGGGAGCCTTCCCTTCCTTTTTGCTAAGCCCCGTGGCTTTGCAAAAGGCAAGGAAAAGTAGTGGTCAAAGGGAGCCCTTTGATCCCTGCTTTTCCCTTCCTTTTTGCTAAGCTCCGTGGCTTAGCAAAAGGAAGGGAAAAGCAAAGATCAAATTTTCTAATTTGGGGTTAGAAAAGGGGGGGTCGTCTTATACATTGGGTTGTCTTATAAACGGAAAAATACGGTAGTTCATTGAGTTCAACTCATTGTGGAACTATGTTTAACTTATCTTCAAAACTATATATGTATGTCAAGGCTTTTCTTTGGGGAGAATCAGTTTAGTAGCGCTTTTAGGACTTCCACTCCTAGAATTCATCCAGAATTTTCCAGACAGAATTCTGTGAGTTGGAGCCCCAAAAGAAGGAAGCCTCAAAGAAGCACTTCTTACCGTCATGCTTTTCCCAGACTGGTTCTGCTTTGAACAGCAAGGGAATTTCAAGGCTATCTGGGACTCACAGAGGTTCCTGGGAGGGGTAGTTCTGTAGGAAGTGCCCTCTGTATAGCCTTCATGGATGTCGGGGCTCAGTTTCCCATGAATTTGTGCATTCTTATTGTACAGTTACTGAGTAACTAACTCAGTTTCCCATGAATTTGTGCATTCTTAATTATTGTACAGTTACTGAGTAACTAACTCTAGTTGGATGCAAGACAATACGGAATTGTACAGTCTTTTGAACTGTTATTTCTGCTTTGATGGCAGAACAACAGTGAATGTTTTATAATTTAAGTACTTGAAGTGATTGGTTTTCTAGTTCCAGTGTTCTCTGGATGCAGTTGAGGAAGCTAACTCACTGAGGTCTTGTTTTGATTTCATAGATGTCCTGTTGTGTCTTGCACATCATAGTCAAGGATGTGATGGACCATTGTGCCGACCTGTAATCTTGCTGCCAGAGGACAACACACCACCTTTTCTGGAGCTCAAACGCTCCCGCCACCCGTGCATCATGAAGACATTCTTTGGAGATGACTTCATCCCTAATGACATTCTGATAGGTATAGAAGGTGAACACCCTGAGAGCAAAGCTCCTTGTGTTCTAGTGACCGGTCCGAACATGGGAGGCAAGTCAACGCTTATGAGACAGGTGATTAGAAGCACATTGCAGCATGTTTTACAACTCTAGCACAGTGTAATCCTTAACCACGAACATTGGATTTGTTTAGGACTTCATTCCCAGATTCCTACATATTGGTGGTTGACCTGGGGATAATTAAATTTCATTTGCATTGTGTTAGGTGACCTTGTTACTGTACTATTATGATTTGGATTATGTAAGAAGAATGGAAATAGGGCTTAAGGTTTGTTGATCTAGCTTCAGTGAGTTGGGACTCTGTGTAACTCCATCTCTTCTGTATAAATACATATGGATTTAATTTTAGATAGGAAACTACATGCTTCATGCATCAACCTACAAGAAGAAAATAAGTGTTCTACACAGAAAAGAAAGGCAAATACGATGTCATATGGAAAAGAAGACTAGAATTCAGTTGCTATTCCCAGCTAAATTAGACCTACTGACATAGTTATAGAATTGTGAGTTAAAACTTACATACTGTAAATCCTGATTATATATTCAGGTGTTAACTCATAGGGTAAGCTCAACGTGGATGGAGTGGTTTGTCTCCTCCATTGTCATGCCCATCACTTTTCTACCCATGGAGAATGAAGAGTTTGAGAACGGCAGAGCTCCCTTATCTCCGATGTGTCTCTGTGTAAGTCAGGATGCTGATCTTCCAAGGACTGGATTCATGTGGGCAGTCCCTATGGATAGGAGAGGTCATACTTTTCATGGTTGTCACCCTTCACATATAGAAATGTAACAAAAACCTGCACAGAGGGGTAGGATTGAACTGTTCTCTACCTTGAGCAACCTTTGTTGTCATTTAGCCGTTAAGTCGTGTCCGACTCTTTGTGACCCCATGGACCAGAGCAGGCCAGGCCCTCCTGTCAGAGCAAGATTACTGTTATTTTAACAGATTACCTGTTAAAATAAAGAATAGTTCTGGTTGTAGGCACCATGCTTAGAGAGGAGCAAGTAACCCTGATTCCTCCATTGTAACTTTATCTGCATAGAGAGTGAAATATTTAAGGACAAGGGTCCTCCTTGCATGTAAGCTCTCTGCACCTGTAGGATTTCTTGATTTCTAGGGGACTCTATTTCCCTAGAACTAAAGGTGTAGAAGTTAGTCAAAGTGTTTCTTCCTTGTCCTAGTTAACTCTGGCACAAGCAAGTGTAGTGCAGGCAGTTCTGTAATGGCTGTTGGCTTTGTTGCTTTGCAGGCTGGCTTGCTGGTGATAATGGCCCAGTTGGGCTGCTTTGTTCCTGCTGAATCTTGCAGACTTACTCCTGTTGACCGAGTGTTCACCAGATTAGGAGCTTCAGATAGAATTATGTCAGGTGAGTTTTAATTTTTAAAATTAAATCTGAAGCACAAGCAGGTGCTGTCAAAAGTACAGTGTGTAACCGGGGTTGGTGCCCAAGGACAGGCTGGATGATACTGAAATGTTGTGTGAAGAGGGGGGGAAAGCATCTGTTGAAAATCACATACCCTACCCCCAAAATGTGGTGGCCACACAGGCCATCCTGGGCTGCTGATAGGCCATGGGTTAACCGAATTCCCATCAGATTAAATCACAGTAAGCTTGCACACCTGCATGTGGCTTCTCTTTTGCACAGCACTTGCTCTCCAGTAATGAATTAAAAACTGTCAAGTCAGCCTTCGTTTATAAATATTTAATATATGACATCTGTGAAGGAAGAGTGTAGTATGAATTTCCAACTTTGATCAGTTGATCATTTCAGTTTCTCCAAAATCTGAAGTGCTTGTGATTTCTTCACCAGGGGAGAGTACATTCTTCGTTGAGCTGAGTGAGACTTCGAGTATTCTACAGCATGCAACAGAGCATTCTTTTGTTCTTTTGGATGAATTAGGTATGTAAGCTGCATAGAAAGAAATCTAAAATCACACCGTAATAATGGTCATAATTACCTGCTGGCCATTTCAGTTCTTGATTAGCATTCTACAGCTGTCTGCACTACCTCTTCATTTAGCAAGCCTTGCTTAACCACATCATATTTTCATTGCAAGAAACTAGACAGTGATGTCTCATTTAAGGAAAGTTTCTCTACTTGCAGTGATTATGCCACAGCCACACTTTTTTTAGCCTAAGGATCTATAGTGTGCCAACAGAACATGTGAAACAGCAAGGAACCTTTTTAAAATGAAATGCATGGAATACGTTTGCATACACTATAGTAGGGCTCATTACAATTAAATACATCCTAATAAAAGTTATTGCTGGAGACACTGTATGCATGCAGTACCACATGCATAAGGGATTTACTATGTATATTTATTTATTAGAATTATACCCCACCCATCTAGACCAAAGGTCTACTCTGGGCGGTATTACAGATTTAAAAACAGTAAAACCAATAAACATGCAATAAATCCAAGATGGAAAATGTGAATTTAAGATTCACATTATTAGTATGCCATTGGCTGCAACTGTGCTGACAGTGGGTTCTGTGGGTTCTTTGTCCTTTACGACCACTGTTACTGTTTTTATGTGCTGTCAAGTGGTCTCTGACTCATGGCAAGCCTGTGAATGAGCAATGTCCTGTCCTCAACTACCCTGCTCAGCTCTTGTAAACTCCACCTTGTGGCTTCCTTTAGGGCAGACCTGGGCAAAGTGCGGCCCGAGGGCCACATATGTCCCACGAGTCGCTCCTGTCTGGCCCGCAGACATTTTTGAATATCGAAACATAGCTTTTTGTCTAAGGGGCCACATATGGCCCATGAGTCGCTCCTGTCTGGCCCGCAGATATTTTTGAATATCAAAACCATTTATAGCTTTTTGTCTAAAGTTGATCAGTTACTTATCTTTAGCATACCACAAAAACGCTCTTTAGTATTTGTGAAGATTAAAAGTTTAAAGTAAGGGACGTGGTGGCGCTGCGGGCTAAACCGCAGAAGCCTGTGCTGCAGGGTCAGAAGACCAAGCAGTCGTAAGATCGAATCCAAGCGACGGAGTGAGCACCCATCGCTTGTCCCAGCTCCCGCCAACCTAGCGGTTTGAAAGCATGCAAATGCAAGTAGATAAATAGGGACCACCTCGGTGGGAAGGTAACAGCGTTCCGTGTCTAAGTCGCACTGGCCATGTGACCACGGAAAATTGTCTTTGGACAAAACGCTGGCTCTATGGCTTGGAAACGAGGATGAGCACCGCCCCCTAGAGTCGAACACGACTGGACAAAAATTGTCAAGGGGAACCTTTACCTTTACCTTAAAAGTTTAAAATAAAAACAATCATGACATCACTGTTTCATTTATTTTTAAGTAAAGTTGGTTTGGCCCCCGATCAGATTTTTCATGTGCCCATCCTATAGAAATTAATTGCCCACCCCTGCTTTAGGGAGTCAGTCCATCTTGTATTTGGTCTTCTCGTTTCTTGCTGTCTTCAGCCTTTCCCAGCATTATTGTCTTTTCCGTAAAATCCTGCCTTTTCATGATATGCCTAAAGTAGGACAGCCTTAGCTTCAACATTTTTGCCTCCAGAGATAATTCAAGCATGATTTGATCTAGGATTCATCTTTCTGGCAGTCCAGGGTATCTGCAAAGCTCTCCTCCAGCACCACATTTCAAACAAATCAATTTCCAAACCCTTTTGTGAGCAGAACACCCATGTAAAGCAGCAGGGCAAACTCCAGCTTGTGTAACTGCAAGCTGGCCCTTAGGACATATTATTTGCTGCAAAAAAATAATAATGGCTCATGATTTTAATAGAGTTTAAGTTTCCAGATTGGCAAAAATGTCATGTGATGCTGTGGAGATCAGATTCATAGCTTTTTTAAAGGTCATTTTAACCATCTTTAACTAGTGATAAGAATAATATTGCTACATCAAAGCAAAGCGCACAAATATGATAGGTTCTGCGTTAAGCATCTAGCATCTGGAGCAGGGGTCTCCAAACTACAGCCTGCAGGCCACATGTGGCCTGCCTTGCTGTTTTACCCAGCCTGATCCCTTAACCCTGTGTGCACGGAGGAGGGGTGGGTGCAGGGAGTGCGTGTGTACACATGCACGCATGTTCCTGTTCCTTTGGCCCTCTAAGATCTTGAAAGTATCTGGTGTGACACTCAGGGTAAAAAGTTTGGAGACCCTTGATCTAGAGGTACATCTGTCTGGCAGTTCTATTCAGTCTCTTGGTGATGAACTAGTCCATTGGTAGTTAAGGCTTTCTATGATTTACACCAGGGGTGTCCAATCTTTCACCTTCCCTGGAGTAATGATTTTACTCCAGAAACAGCAAACCTATGAATGCATATAAGTTGCAATTTTGTTCCACATCAATCAATATGGCTTTGCATTGCTGAGGAAGAGTGTTTTGTGACTAATTCAAGAGAAAAGGCTTTGTTCATTTTTTTGCTGCAGGTAGAAGGAAGCTAGTAAGGCATATTCTCTACAGAAAGGTTGGATATACAAGAAAGTCAATGCAATGCGGAACAGGAAAAAAAACAGAGGAGTGTTGCCCAGACATGCCCCGGCCACATTCGAGCCGCGAGTGCCGGCAGTGTAACTTGAAACTGTGGAATTTCTTTAAAAATAAAAAATTGCACTGGGCCGCATTATGAGCCAACCTGAGCCGCATGTGGCCCTCGGGCCGCAGGTTGGACAAGCCTGATTTACACTATTATTTATGGTTCTTTTTGAGGTTTTCCTTCCATCTGAGGTGTCTGCTTAGAGAATGTAGTAGATTCCTACTTTTAATGTTCTTCCTAGGCAAACTCCAACACATGAAAACGCACTAATTTTCAGCAGTTTGGAGACCCTTGATCTAGAGGTACATGTGTCTGGCAGTTCTGTTCAGTCTCTTGGCGATGAATTAGTCCACTGGTAGTTAAGGCTTTTTATGATTTACAGTATTATTTATGGTTCTTTTTTAGGTTTTCCTTCCATCTGAGGTGTCTGCTTAAAGAGTGCAGTAGATTCCTACTTTGAATGTTCTTCCTAGGCAAACTTCAAAACATGAAAACGCACTAATTTTCAGTCGGCAGCTGCGATCTCAGACAGCAGAGGCTGCCAGCTTCGACACCGGCAGCATTATGGGGCTGGGAGGGGGTCCACCTATTGACGGGGATGGCGCAATGCAATCATACAGCTCCCCTCCCTTCCTTCCTTCCCTCCTCCCCACTGTTGTGACATGCCCCGGCCACATTCCAGCCGCAAGTGCCGGCAGTGTAACTTGAAACTTTGGAATTTCTTTAAAAATAAAAAATTGCACTGGGCCGCATTATGAGCCAACCTGAGCCGCATGTGGCCCTCGGGCCGCAGGTTGGACAAGCCTGATTTACACTATTATTTATGGTTCTTTTTGAGGTTTTCCTTCCATCTGAGGTGTCTGCTTAGAGAATGTAGTAGATTCCTACTTTTAATGTTCTTCCTAGGCAAACTCCAACACATGAAAACGCACTAATTTTCAGCCCCAGACAATGATCATGTTATGACTAGAGGTCTTAAATATTTTGAATTTGATACTTTTAAATCCACTTAAGCCATTGTGGATTTTAGTTGAAAGAGAGAACCATTTCCTTTTAATATTGTTAAGCCTTAGGTGTTCAGTTCTAATTCAAGAATAATTCACATAATTAAGGCCTATTTACCATAATCAAAATTTGTACGGTGTGCCACAAGTACAAAACAAAAGCTAGAACAAAGTATGGAGATAACTGAAGCCCATCTCATAGATAACATCAACTCAAAAGAAGAGAGTATTCATATCTAGCATTTTGTCAAGGAGCTGATTTTTTGGATAGAAACTACTTTTGTGAAGTGCTCCTTCCTCCCTTTGCTGACATAAATGAGTACACCTGTGAGTCTCAAACGAGCTCCTAGAGCAGCAAGTCATTTGACAGAACTGCATCCACTACAACAGCCAAGGTTGTGGTGGATGCAGCTCAAGGAGTAACAGTTACTACTTGAGGCTTATGGCATCGGCGGTGCCAATGGGGTCCTGGATTACTTGGCTTTTGGAAGATGGATATTCTCTCATGATTTCTTTTTGAAACTCTTACATAAAATCAATCTGTTCACTGTGTCTCCTGTTTCTGTGTCAGAGGGTTTGGGAAACAGGCCACATCTTCAAAATCGAACTGGCTGAAGACATTTTGCTGCTTGAGGCAAAGGGGCCCTCCTGCATTGTATGCCTAATTGTCTGCCACCCTATCTGAGGGTAGAAGGTGCATTTCGAGGGCAGTGCAAGTTGTGCAGTACACACACACACCTCTGTCTGACAAGAGGAATGCTTGGCGGTTACCACTGTCCCCCTCCCCCCGGGGAGGCACTTGCCTCACTAAAGGCAGCCCTACTCTTGAGTGGGGTTTGCTACCTCTACGCTCAAAGCTATACTACATCGATGGATTAGACAGTGCTGAAAGAGAGCATTTTCTAGAATGGCCTCTTGAGTTTTCATTTAAGCTCTTAGTGGTTTCTGTGGCTTTTAAGAATTCTGGGTACAAGAGGTGTGTTGTTTTTTCCACTAGCTCTGATTTTGCATTTATCCTGTTCTCTCTCTCTCTCTCTTTTTTTTTAGGTAGAGGTACAGCTACTTTTGATGGAACTGCCATTGCTAGTGCAGTCGTCAAAGAACTCTCAGAGAACATTAAGTGTCGTACAATGTTTTCAACACATTACCATTCTTTGGTAGAGGATTATTCTCACAGTCCAACTGTGCAGTTGGGACATATGGTACATATTACCTTGTTTTGTTTCACCTGCCGCTGTTGTGTTTCTCCGTGATTATAACTCTGCATTTTTTCTAACCCATAGTTAAGAGTGCCCTTTCCTACAGGAAGATGTTCTGCCATATGAAACAGCATTCATTTATCTTCAGAATAGATTAAGTCAAATTTCCCCTTTTCATATTCATTGAGCAAATTATGCCACTCTTAACAGAGTTAATTTGATATTTGAAATTCCATAAACATTATTTCTTCCGACCACTTGCACCATCATACGATGGATATTCTGTATACTTTATTAGTAGCAAAGATAGCTGTAAAATGAGGGGGAAAATACCTATGGCTTAACAGTTATTGGGTCAGCTGGATACTTTGCATTAGATGAAAATGGAGTGCTAGTATAAATACACACAGGTGATTCAGTGCTTTATATAACTGTGATACCTAGCTCTGTTCCTGTGTTAAATGTATTGTGTCCATGCACACTTGAGGACAGGAGTTTGATTCCAGCTCACTGTCTTTTCTGGTTGGGGCTGTACACTCTCCAGGGATAACTTTATATTGTGGAAGTGCTCTTGGAATCATGCTTACTAGCAGTTTTGGCTGATAGCAGGCCAGTCTATACAGTAACTCTTGACTGTATAGACTGGCCTGCTATGTATGCTTGGGGTGGATACTGAAGTGTGTTGCAGCCTAATGAAATTTATATGATTAACAAAGTGTTGAGGTCCTTTTCTAGCGTACTGTGCAGCAAGTGGAATCGCCATGTATGTTCTAAGTGCAGGGTTTTCCCACAGACAAGTAGGGTTGTTTGCTCAGGTATCTTCCAGTTTACTTACCCCTTTCTGATACTATTTCATTGATTTTCATGGATTCTCATATAGTACTCTTGTAGATCAGTTTGAAGTTTTTGGAATGGTAAATATTTCAAGCACCAGATGTAATATGTACTTCTTTAAGAGAAATTCAATTTACAAATTTTAAACTGACAAAATATTTTTTTCCTGTCAGTGCTATATTAGAGGTAGATCTTGTGCAGGCTGGTATAATATCTAAACCAAGGAGTGGGGCTCTCTGAAATGACGTGTTGTGGATTTGTCCCCAGGCATGTATGGTAGAAAATGAGAGTGAGGATCCTAGTCAAGAAACAATCACGTTCCTGTACAAGTTCATTAAAGGAGCTTGCCCTAAAAGCTATGGCTTTAATGCTGCAAGGCTAGCTAACCTTCCTGAAGAGGTTATTCAGAAAGGTCACAAAAAAGCAAGAGAATTTGAGAGAAACATTGTTGCATTGAAATTGTTCAGGTAAGTCTTCACTTTTCTGTTGTGTATTAGTGGAGGCACTAGATTTCCTTCCAACCATTTATTGTGTCCTACAGAACATAGGAGAGTAACAGCATGTTGGGAAGTCACAGCTACGTTGGCTCCACCTCAACAGATGGAAGTGGGGGAGGTAGAGGGTCTAGGAAAAAGCCCCTGTTGTGTTTTACCTTTATTAAATAAGTGGTGTGGGGACAGACGGTAACAAATGTGTATCTCTTGACAGGAATCTTTGCCGGATAGCTGAAGGAGCACCAGTGTCTAGAGATGATCTTGAGAAACTAACTGTGCTTTATGGCTGAGACAGTATACAGTTTTTACAGCAGTTTTCAAATCCAGTATGCAAACACAATGATCTAATAAACTTTATTTTTTAAAAATGACCATTTTCCATTGTCTTTCCTAGGAAATTAAACCCTTTTAATTCTTACCTACCCTCTACATAATGGTTATTGAATACTCCACAATATATTAAGTCTAGATGTTATGGTACATGCATACACTTTCAGGCTGTTGATTACCCACTGTCACCAATACACATAAATGGAAAAAAGCTATGAAACTGTATAGGGCTGTCTATATACTTTGTCTCATCATCATTAGAGCAGGAATTGCAATTTTCAGCAGTTCTTAAGAGTAATGTCCAGACTGTTCAATAAAACTGTGAACAGAGTAAAATACAGGATTGTTTGGGTGAGACTTACATTGTATTTTAAAATACGGTAAAGCCTCCATCTACAAACTTGTTATTTCTGTACTTTGTTTTATAGTGCATTATTTCCCAAGAAGTATCATTAAAACATTGTTTCTTAAGGTGGTGTAAAGATCATGAGGGCAGGGTGGGGCAGGGGAGAGTCTAACTGCAAAGGATACCAGAAAAATTGCTGGATATAATTTAAGATTAGTGTTCTCTTTCATAGAAAGAACGTACATACTGGGACATGAGTACAGTTACAGCAAGTCTAGGTGTGCTAACAAAACAGGACACATTCAAGTACAATAAGATTTGCTTGAAATTAAAAACTACATGAGATTAAAGCGTTAAAATCATCTCAATCTGAATAAATGTTAAAAAAAATCAAAATAAATGCAGAAGTGCTAGCTCACATTTTTACCATATTACAAAAAGCAATTGGTACCCATGTCCATAAAGGCAGCAACAAAGACTGCTGCTCGTCTACAGAATAGTACTACTGCAAATGGGACTGCATTTCATTGCTACTTGTAGAAACACCAGCCTTTGGGAAGTTGGTATCTGTACAAAGATGCAGCTTATTTTCTTCACTTCTGTCCCTTAGTCTTTGTTTACACAGTAATGCTGAAACGCCCAGTTCTGTTATCCTGAGTCAACATATTGCCACTTTCTTTTTGGTAGGTTGAGCTCCATAGTGTCACCTCTTTACACATCCATTTTAAAGTCTCTCTCTCTGCAGAAATGGGCAAGTATACTTTTCTCAAAAAACAAAATAAACAGAATTGAATGGCAGGACTTCTCTCTCAAAGTAATTCAGTTGTGCTGCAGTGTATTAGATTCTATAGGAGGAGCAGAGTCATATAGTGTATCTGTATCATGTGTTGGTTCTCCAGCTAGTGTACAGGGATTGGACAGTGTTCCAGCACCACAGTCGCAGAAAAACCTGCAAGACAAACATCTTTGAAATACTCACTGAAAACATTATACTTAAGTTTTCTGCCAAATGTTGTTCAACATACATACCTATCATGTCTAATAAATTCCACATCATGTCCTTGATGGCACTTTTTAATACAATTCACGCATATAGCATTGCGATCTGTGGTGTTACAAGTGTGACATCTAGAATACAACGTTAATTTGTTACGAACAAATCATTTTCTGATTTCATTCATTTCATTAATTTGTATACCACCCCATTAGTGCAGTGCACTATTCTGGGCTGATTACAGTACAATAAAACATAATAGGGTTATAAATAAAACCAAGGAACTAAAACATAATACAGGAGACTTGACATATAAAACAGGGGTCTCAAACTCAATTTACCTGGGGGGCTGCTGGAGGCAGAGTCTGGGCAAGGCTGGGCCACATCAGATTTTCCGCCAAGTGGAGCAAGAGCTGGAGGAAGCTGCCCAGGATTTTCCTTAGCCCGAATGGGGCTCCGAGGAGGAGGAGGGGGAGGGGTGCATAAGCCCTCATCACCGGCCACGACCCCCTCCGGCTCCTTCACTACCACCAGCAGCACCACAAAGAAGCGGAGAAAAGGAGGGCACGACACAATTTTTAAACAAAATCCTCACAGAATCGCCTTGCCAAAGGAGAAAAGCCCCCATCGGTACCTGCAAAATTGAACAGAATGGGGCTCCCACAGGTGCATGTGCATGCGCACACACACAGAGGTCCGGCAACCTTCCTCTGAAGGCACCCCTCCAAAAAAGGTGCATTCTGCAGCAGCAGCTACCCTCACCACAACAGGGGAGCAAACTTTGCGAGGCAAGCCCAGGCAGCCTCCAGAGTCGAGGCAGCTGTAGCAGGACGAAGAAGAGGAGGAAGCACCACCAGGTGCTGAGGTGGCCGCTGGCCAGGCTGGTGCTGGGGGTGCAGAGAGAGAAAGAGCCAGAGAACCGCTTCCCTGGAAGAGGTGGCGGCGGCAACTTGGAGGCGTTCATTGAGGACAGGCCGGGAGTGAGCTCTGCTCTCAGGCATTGCACGGCGGCAGCTCAGGTGCTCGGGGGGAAAAGGGCCAGCAGCACGCCTCGCTCGGCGACTCTCCCCCAAGACAGCGCCTCTTGCACCCTCCATCCAGAACTGCAGCCTGCCAGCCAGCCCGCCTGTCTGCCGGCTGGCAGGCTGCAGTTCCAGATGGAGGGTGCAAGAGGCGTTGTCTTGGGGGAGAGCCAGTTTTTAAAAAACTCTTGACAGCAGAGGACGTGTGGGCGCTTCGGGGGGGCAGGCAAGGTGGGGGCCACAAACTATCCGGCGGGCCGCAAATGGCCCTCGGGCCGCATGTTTGAGACCCCTGATATAAAACATTAAAACTGAAGTATATAACATGTTCACTTACCTATAGAAATCATGCATGGGATAGCTGGTGTAACTTGATATTTTATATAGACACTGGCCTCTACTAACAGCTTTCTCTATGGCATCTTGATTGTTCATTATTTTGTTGTCTGTAATAAAATGGCAGGGTCGGCATTTAGTTTATTGTTCCGCAACACAAGAGATATGGCCTGAAACAGGCAAGCGTTAATTGTCCAGTGATTATTAGCTCCAGAATTATGCTTTATAATCCCAATTATAAAAAGTTCTGCCACATGCATATTCTTCTTGTTGGCATGCAGCAAGGCTACCTGGAAAGCCATCCCTACCCAAAAGAGAAATGCTGGACACTTGCTCACTTGAAGCATGTATGAACCTGGCCCCATGTACATGAAATGGATATGATAATGTATCCCGGAAGACTTTGAATTAAAAAAAAAAACACAACTTTTCCAATACCTTTCAGCAAAGCTCTTGAATAGGAAAAAACATCTGTACTGAAATGGGGTGTAATAATCAGCAAAGCATAGTTAACAATTATATCTGTTCAGTCCTATATATCTACTCAAAGGTAATAATTATTTGGCACTGGTTAGGCTGCAGCTTGAGTACTCTGTCTAGTTCTGGATATTGCACTTTAATAAGGATGCAGACAAAGTGGAACAGGCTTCAAAAGGTCATTTGCCGTATTTTTCCATGTATAAGACTATACTTTTGTCTAAAATCTTTAGACTAAAAATTGAGGGTCATCTTATACACGGAAGCTGAGAAGAGAACAAAAACAAGCAGGGATCAAAGCAATCCTGCAGCGCTTTGATTCCTTTCCCCCTACACTTGCTAAGCCCCACTTATTTTTCTTAATTATGGATTAGAAAAGTGGCGTCTTACACATGGGAGCATCATATACATGGAAAAATACGGTAGTTTTCAGCATGGATCTGCCCAGAAACAAAGAATCACTGCACCAAAGTGATTACTGGCTGTTGTTACTTCCTTCACCAAAATTTGCTCCATACAGTCCTAGATAGACAAGATTTTTTCATTGCTACGGAGGAGCAACCATGGACAATCATCGTGAGTTCATTTTTTAAAGTAAATTATTTCAGGTACGACTAAAACAGGTTCACACTGAAAGTTACATTGCATTAAGATCTCTATAGTATACAGTATTAAATTGTCAAAATCTTGTTGCAGTTTTCCACAACCAAAAGGTCAGCTGCCCAATGGCTCTTCCTCTCCAGCGTGCCCCCTCCCACATGAACAGTCTTAAGACCAGACACCAGTCAGGTGAATGAGAGAAACAAATGACTTAGGCAATACTGCACAGTATAAATCAATATTCCCAACTTCGGGCTACCCAGGTGGTTCTTGGACTACAATTCTCAGAAGCCTTCACCACCCAGTATGCCAGCTAGAATATCTTGGAGTTGCAGTTCAAGAACACCTGGGTACTCAAGGTTGGGAATCACTGCGGTAAATGAACAAGATTCTAGCCAATGTGTTTAAATAACACAGCTTACAGCACCAGCTCTTGCTAATCTTTTTTTCTTCAAAGGCCAGGAGTTCATGCATAAAAGCATTTGTGTGGACTTCTTGGCAACCAGGCATGAAACATGTTTTGGTTTTATATGAAATATCTTTATTTAAATTGAAATGCCAAAATAATTAACACAAAGGACTAATGGATTAAATAAAAACACAAATTTCCAAGATGTTCTGCTTTTAAATAAAGAGGGCATTTTTTTATGAACAAAACTTATTTTTAAACCACAACAAGCCTACTTAAGTTCCCTACTCCCTGGAATGAAAACTTATTGTCAAAATAAAAAGTTTCTGACAGCTACCGTAAGCTTAAAAGTATTATAACTGGACATACCTTTCATTGTCACATTGACACCAGAAGCTAGAAATAAACCTCCAAACCGGTTGTTGAATATCTGATTGCCTTCCAAAGTTGCAGTTGCATGATTTGTTATTTCAATACCTTACATTAAAGAGAAGGAAAGTTAGTGTTGCAAAAAAATGACCATATCTGAAATATTTACTTCATTCAACATGAGTTCTCTTTCTTTGGAACTCTCAGCCAAGAATAATATACTAGTTAATTAAATCTGCATTTGTACAGAAACTGGCCACACATACCAAAATTCAAAATGGTATCTGCCTCAGGAACAGAACAATATTTCATTAAGTTGATTGACAGCACTTCAAAGCACTTCCAAAAGATGGAAGGGGGGGTACAAAATGCCAAGAACATAAAACAGGGTGGCAGCGATGTTGTAGAAGTGGCCCTCTGGATTAAATGGATGTTTCCTTATCTGGTCTAGAATTCGTTTTTCAAAAGTAGGTAAGCGAAATACCCCT